TATCCTATACTACTTAATAAATACTACTTAAATTTTAATTATAAATATAAGTGTAATACGCCTATTATAAACCAAAAAAACTAATCGGTTGAATAAACGGGACTGAAATATTAGTATACATATTTATGTAAAATACATTTTTATATAATAAACGAAAATATATTTTTATATATTTTTTATGTTTATGTATGTACACATACAATAAAGTATATGTTCAATAAAATAATGTATATTAGCTATTCAAAAGTCTGTAAAAAATGATGAATTCAAAATTTTCATATTTATGTGAATACACCTCTTTTTTTGTTCCAATAATATCTAATGTTTTTTCATTAAGACCATAATAACATTTTTTTCATGTTTTCATGACCATCGCAAATTAATTTATTTAAAAAAAAAATCTGCCATTTCTGTTTTCAAAATAATCCAGAAAATCCGTTATCCGCTAAAACATAATTTTTTCATTCCAATTATTAATGATAAAAAATACACAAGATTTAGCGAAAAAACGCTAAATTGGCAACACTACTACAGCGATAATTCTATTAACTGCGTTCAGCAGAAAAAGCAGCTTTGCAACTATTGTAAAATTTTGCAATATGATTGGTTTATACATTCCGATCTACAAGAAATCAAAAGCAAGAACCAATGGTATTGAATAATTTTATAACAGTTGCAAAGCTGCTTTCTTCTTTGACTATAGCTGTATTCCAAAATTTACTAAAAATCTATAGTTTACGTCATGTTCACTATAGATTTTCAGTACTGGCAGTAAATTTTGGAACACAGCATATATAATATGGACTGCTAACAGCAATTTCACGGGGTCGATTGTGTATCTTGAAATGAGATGAAAATTACAAAAGTGAACAAATTCACTAGAATATTCATAATTTAATTGGTCAATATCTAGTAATCATTGCTCACTTTTGTAATTTTAAAACCTTACAAAATACACAATCGAGCTCCTGGCTGCATTTATGGTATAAGAATATAAGATATTTCATTGCGCATAATGGCGGAAAAGTGCTAGAACAATCAGAAATATGTCCAAAATTTAGCGCTAAATTCAAATGCAATGTTGGTAAAAATACATACGAGGGTCGTTTGAAAAGTCCGTGCAAAGTCAGAGAGATGGCACTACTGGCGCGTATCAAGGTTAGATTTAGTTAGTAGCATCTCTTGGAGGAACACACACCAAGTTACAGCCAGATCGGTCTATTTGTTTGTGTTTGGCATTCATTTGAATCGAGGAAGTCGAGTGATTTTCAA